CAACAAAATCCAAGGGTTTTGTGGCATACTACAGTACTGAACCCATATACCACTTGATTGTTTACTTTACTCTTTTGTGGAAAAAAATAAGACAAAACTGTGAAATGCATATTAAAATAGATATCTAACATATACACAAGCATACATAGGAGACATCCATATTTGAGTTACTAAGTAAGAATGAGAGAACTGCAGAATTAATACAGGCTTCTAGTTAGCTATTATATCGAATACTCTCAATTCACCTGTCTGTACTGAAAAATTCCTCACCTACATTTAGGCTAGCTGGTGATGGCGGATATAGGCTAGCTGCTAAATTTTCAGGATATAGGAGGAATCCATAAGTTTCTAATTTCATTTTAGGCTGGTAGCAACACAGATGGAAAGTAAAATCATTTTATATTTGACAGCCACTCGATGCTGTCCCATAAATAACGTCATGTAATCACTCCGTTGATTTTGAACTAATTTAGTTATATAATTTAGGTGTAATTTAGAAGCTCTAAATTGGAAGCCCAAAGAAGCAGCACAGGGGAAAGTAAAGTTTGATACCAAAGTTAAAAAACTATACTCCTCCCAGAGTTCTTGACCCACACAGCCTTCTATACATCAGAGTCCTTCACCTTATCACAGCAGATACACACATACAAATGGATATGCCAGTGTAAAGACTACATGACATGAGTGGAAAGGTAAAACACAATCCTGGCTACAGCTTCTCTGACCCTGCTAGGCTTCCCCATCACTTTTTTTATTTCCACAACAAAGGTGTATTTTGTGTAACTTGACTCTTCAAGGGAAAAAGTTCCCTACAACTGGAAAGAAACCTCAAGTAGGTGTTTAAGAATACATTTACTAAAATAACCTCAAATGCTTACATTTGAAAATTTCATTTTTCAGATAGATTGCTATGCTGAGGAAGAAGTAATATACACACGTTTGAATAAACTCTCCTAAAATAATCACACTTTGTAAAGTGTGATGCTTAAAACATATTCAGTTTAATAAAAAGAAGCTCCCCACACTCAGAACTTTAAGGAGAAATTTTCAGTTAAATTCACACATTTCCACAGTCTACTTATAACTGACCAGCATTTGTGCATATAGAAGTGATTAAACAGCAGGCTTTCAAACAATATGCCAAAGTTTCTATCAAACACTTTGAATAATAGTTTTTTAATAAATAAATACATGAAGGAAGGATATTTAGAGAAGAATTAAGGATAGAAACACTTTGGATTTCATAAACATATCTTTAATATATATCAAAATTATCATCAAAAGTTTTTAAAGTTTAATCTCAATGAGTTAAAGATGATTGCATTGATTATTTATGGTTTTTGTAGGTCAATAAACCCTGCTACCATTCTACTGCCCAATTTAAATATTTTCCAAATTAGAAGAAAAAAAAAAGGTCTATTAATCCTTTGCAGAGTTCCAAAATTTTTTATAGAATCTTAATGAATACTACTCTGTCTATAATGCCAGTTATAAATAGCGTGAGTCTAACTACAGAGAGCTCAAAGGAATCATAAAAACGCTAAAATATACTGAATATAATTCTTCTCCGTCTGCAATGCCAGATGTGTAATTATCATGAGCACAACTATAGTAAGCACAAATGAAACATTCAAAACAATCTACGATATACTGAAAATTAGCTTTTTGAAATATAAAGATGATATGACACTGAAGCCTAAGGCAACAAACCTTTCAGTGTCCAGTAATACACTGTGTACATAAAAATGTGGATGAATGTCCACCTCTCTCCTGAAGAGAGTTAGTTGTCAGGTCCTGATAAAAAAAACATAAGCACTATATGCAAGCCCTTAAACATGAAAATCTGGTACATACCAAACTTTTAATCAACTACTTTTCTCCATTTTTGTGTAATTAGAACATATGATAAAAATGAAAGTCTAACACTGGTTACAGGAAGACATACGCTTACACACAGAAAGGACAGTGCTAGCCAAAGGAGAAAAGACTGTCGTCTTGGTGCTCATACAAAGACAAATTACCTGACCTGGGGAAAAAGGAAGAAATGCACCCTAGTTACTTCATAGCACTAATCACACAAGTCCTGGCATTACTATATAAACACTGCCATTGTATGCTGAACTTGTAAACCCTGTCTTGGATTTTTAAGCCCCTCAGAAGAAGGATTTCCATGAGGACATATAAAGTGTCTAGAAACAAAGGGAGCAGGAGTCCTGTTAACACCACTTATTTTCTTTTTGGTTCTGTTTTGTTCAATTTTTCATTTACTAAAATGGGTAAGAGACTAGGATCCAGGTTAATTTGTGGCACAAGTAGGCTGGGATAAGTCTGAAGAGGTTTGTGAAGTTTTGAAACTCTTAGATTCTGTACATTGTAATGAATAACTTCTTTGATGAAAAGCTGTGCTAGTTGCAAAGTCAATTCAAAATATTTCAAAATAATTAACTTTGCCTTTTTCTACTCTTTTCGTTTTCTATGAAAGATTTTTCAGAAGAAATACACCAATATGAGAAAAAAATCTTACCTTCACAAGCTTTCATCCAATCAGAGATTAATTCTCTTTTGGACTATTTATAACCGTCAATGCAAATGTATAATAGCCTACTTTTAACAGATAGAATAACACCAAAAATTCTTCTTTAGCTAACTGCCAGATGATGGTGAAGAGGCTATTTTCACAATGCTGAGTGTTTTATTTGACCTCAAGATTTTAGTTGGCAGTTAATGACTTCATAACCTAGAAAACAATGTTTGTCCGAGGAATTCAGATGATATTCATGCCAAATCAACACCCTACTTTGAGAGCTCTGTGAGAGGATGCATGGTAGCAGTACTCCCTGGCCTTGGACTGACCAGTTGCCCCCAAAGTCAAGAGATGGCAACATTATCATCATTTACTCTGACAGTGATTCAGCTTTCAAATATCCAGGCCCAAAAAAGCATGTCTGAAAAAGGTCACTGAAACGAAACAAACAAAGGAGAATGGGGCTTTTGAGAATGCCAAGACAGCAAATTTAGTTGTTTAGGAGATCTGACATTTTCCCTTACATCTGTTCCTTATATATTTACCTTTGATTCTGGATTTCTAGGTACTCCTTGGCTAACCAAAGCCACTCTTAGGGAATTTTATTCCCAGTTTATTGATGTACAGTCTCAAACAGCATTAGAATGGAAGGATACAGGCTCCTTAAGAAGTACAGACAGGGGAGACAGGAAAGGGGATGTCACCCTCCATGTTACTATACATGGAGGTCATTGGTTTCTGTAAGCCCAGAAAGCCAGTCATATCCTGGCCTGTATCCAGAGAATTGTGGCCAGGAGGTCGAGGGAGGTGATTCTTTCACTCTAATCTGCTCTCATGAGACCCCACCTGGAGTGCTGTGTACAGCTCTGGGGCCCCCAACAAAAGAAGGACCTGGACCAGTTGGAGCCAGTCCAGGGGAGGGCCATGAACATTATCAGAGGGCTGAAACACCTCTCCTATGAAGAAAGGCTGAGAGAGCTGAGGTTATTCAGTCTGGAGAAGAAGAGGATCCTTATGACAGCCTTCCAGTACCTGAAGGGGGCCTACAAGAAAGCAGGAGAGGCACTTTTTACAAGGGCCTGTAATGATAGGAAAAACAGTAACAGCTTTAAAGTGATAGAAAGTAGATTTAGATTAGATATAAGGAACAAATTCTTCACAGAGAGGGTCGTGAAACACTGGAACAGGTTGCCCAGAGAAGCTGTGGATGCCCCATCCCTGGAAGTGTTCAAGGCCAGGGTGGATGAGGCTTTGAGCAACCTGGTCTAGTGGAAGGTGTCCCTGCCCATGGCATGGGGGTTGGAACTAGATGGTCTTTAAGGTCCTTTCCAACCCAAACCATTCTATGATTCTATGAAATCTGACTTATTATTAAGCATGGTTTTCTATATAGTAAGGTTTAATTTTATGTAACTCAACCTTCATATATTTCAACATGCAATATTGAAGATGCATGTCTTACAAACCAACCAACCAACCCACCCCCAAAAAACAGGCCTGAATCATTATTAGATCTGGTTTAGTAAAATATACATACTAACTGGAAAATGTTAGTAGCATGATGCAGCATAACAATGTTTATGGCATTAATTTTTGGATGTATTCAATTTTAGGTGTAGTTCCACAATTAAACTTCTATACTTAGAGCATCCAATCTCTCTGGCCAGTTGAGACAACTATCTTTCTTTTGTATCAGGGAAGTGTTATAAATATTTTTGCCTCTCCCTAGACACAGGGATGGACCTTTTGTTCATGTCTAATATATTCAATCCACATAATACATCTGCCAATGGCTAATTTCCTGCCAGTAGCTGAAGAGCAGTTGGCTTAGCAAACACATGCATGTCATACAGACTGCTCGTGGCTCCATGTCCCCCAGGTCTCCTCTGAGCTGGGACAGGGGCAGGCTTTTGAACTTGACGAATCATCAGTGATGGCAGAAGGGCTTTCCTTGTGGCTGTCATTTCTGAAGTCTGTGTCTTCCTATCATACAACAGATGCCCTTCCACTAAATAATATGGAAGTGACCCCTCATCCAAGAAAAATGATGATTAGGAGAGAGCTGCTACAAGAAGAAAAAAAATCAAGTAATAACCTGTCCTCAAAAGAACAGCAAAAAAAAAGTTATTAAGAAAAGGCCCTAGGACTCAGGACCTACCATGGTGGTAGGTCTGAGAGCAGCCATGCACAGGTGTGCTGTGCTACACCAGTATATATATTGTCACAAAGGGAGAAAACTAAATAGTAGCCAGCAAGGACAAGATGGGACTTCTGCATGCATGCGTACGTGGTCATATGCATGTATGTGCAAGTACAACACTGGGGTATGACTACATATGCCAGTACAATACAAACTTTTTCAATTATCATTAACATGCTTTCCTTTTTGGCATTTTTTTAAAATACATATTCTACAACTTTACTAGAGATTATAATATATTAAAACCCTTACTATCTTATTTTTTATTGATTTGAAACTAATTTTGAGGGAATTAGAAACAGAAAGTGCTAACGAATGACAATGAAACTACTCAAATCAATAAACTGGAAAGTACTTCCTGCTTTAGCTACTAGTTTTATGGATGGAGACAGAGACCATACCAGGAAAAGTCAGGTCAGGACAAGCTTTAAAACTTGGCATTTTAAAATCCTGATGTTTTTTTCACTTTTTTTGAAAAGTGTGTACAAAGACTCCCATTACCCGAAAACCATTCAACAAAGCATCCATTTAGTCTTTCTAAAGTGCCTTCTTTCAGAGTTGTCTCTATAAAATTACTACACATAATTAGAATATTTTCTCCCTTAAAAGATTGAGAAACTTTCACATGGAACTTGATTTTCTCAATAAAATTGTTCATTTTAAAAGCAGTGATAGTCTATGAAATCAAAACAGTTTTGGTCCTTAAAAATATTTTCAGTATTAATGAAAGATACATGTTCATTTCTCTTATTTCTATTTAGAGTTACTTAGACCCCTCTTTATACAAAGCAGATCCTTTTTCTGCACTACTTTTCATTAAAGTGGGAAATTGGTTTCTTAACCATCCAGTTATTCAATTTACAATGTCAAAGAAACATGAGAAATATCTTCTACTATCTGCAGTGTCTTGAATTCAAAATTACAATGCCTATGCACTGGTCAAATTCCACACATCTTTTACCTCCTCTCTTCCTACAACATAATGTAATAATGTAGGAATGTTGTTTTCACCAACCTAAATGAGATCTAAACAAATGTGGTGGCCCCCCAGGCCCAGTGTTCTTCCTCAGTGACAACAAAGGCAAGGCAAGGGAAAGCTGCTGGGAACTCCCACTGGGACCAGAGGAGTGCCTGTGGTTCACCCACCTCCACCCCTTTACTTGTAGTGATCACTACCTACTCAGAAACAAAGAAAAAAAAGGAGGAAGGTGAACCGTGGCTCTTGGATACTTTAATGCTTTTATAAAATCTTAGAAACTGATGATATGAGGTGGAACATCATATTATTATAATATTATTTAGGTAAACATGACACTGCAGGTATCCAAGGTATGTATATGTAGGTTAAGACAAGATAATTTACTATGCTTGAAATTGTTATATTCCTCAAAATGAGAATATATGAATGGGAGACAGGTTTTTTTTTTTTTTAATTACTCCTATTTGTTTCTTTTTTAATTTTACCTACTATGAAGACTGAAGCACTCAGAGAATTAACTGTATATCTATTTATCAATTAGATGAATCTCATTACCCCAGTATGGAAGCATTTGTATCCATCAAATATTCTCTGTATATTGGATCCTTTTCACATATTGTTTGTATATATATATAAATAAAAATATATACATTTATGTAAACTTCAGATAACATGAATTGGTTCCATGAACTAAATGCAGGATACTATATTCTAATGGATACTTATTAGGAGTAATAATATGACAACATTAACAAATAAATTAAAAATATTGCAAGAAAAATATGATTCAACATAAAATTTTAAAATGTATATTTACAGTTACTAGTGTTCCTCAATCTTTTCATAGCTGATTTATGAGGGACAAGTAGACAGTGAGAAAAAACAGCAGCAAAACTAACTTCAATAGGGTAACTTGGTTCCATCTCTTTGTGTTCTAGGAGTACCTATCAACATACATTTTAATGAAGTTTCATGATGTATTATGATACCATAACAGCTAATTATATACATAACTCCCCTTTCTCTTACTCAGAAAAGACAGTCCTTTTTACATCTATCTACCAAAATTAAATATGGAAAGAAATTTTTAATAGTTTAGTTTTCAAGGGTGAAATTCTGAGTGCGTGAAACACATAAACAAACATGGCTACTCCTAAAGCAGTGAAGAATCATTCATTTTGCCAAAGTAGAAAAGAACTGGGTTTGGTTCAGGCATGGAACTACAATAGAGTTTAAATATATACATATGTGGATGCTGGTGATTTTCAAATATATTTTACAGAATTACAGATTTTCTTTAGCATACACTAAAAGATGACACTTTCACATCTTTCAATTTATGCATATATAATGTGAAATTGTTAGTATAGAATGATGATGCACCTCTAAGAAGTAAAATATAGGCTTTGATTCAACTTTACTGAAGACTTTCATGAATCTAGAATACCTTAATTAAATATAGGCATATACGAATAATAATAAAAATAATAGGAGTCTCTGTATTCAGACAGCTTGTGTAGCAACTTTGGTGCCAAAATCTGAAATTTACAGAAATAGTGAGCACTTCTAAATTTCTTTTGCACATATGGACACTCAATGCTTGTCAATCTACATTTGTACTCGTTTAAACTTGGACTTTGAAAGCACTTTGACAAGCTAATGCAAACTAACAGACATATATACAAGTACTTTCTCCTACATTGACTCTTTCTCTGAGATCTGAAAGACTGCCTTCTTTTCGATATATTGCAAACTCAGGACTCTGAAGCACTGCTTCTGAACGGGTCATCCAGCTATGCAGCTCTGTTGTATCCGAGTCAAACCTAAGAGACAGGAAAGTGCAATAAGACAATTTCCACAAAGTTTCTGAAAATAGCAACAACAGTAAACACGTTTAACTGGTTGTTTAAACAACTGAAAATGCAGCAACTTCTCTCCACAGAAGACAGTTTTTAAACCCCCATATTTCATTAAATAGCTTATAAAATTATTCACTCCAAATTTGGAAACATAGAAATACTTTTTCATTTTTAAGACCGTGATTTGACAGCTGAACAGATGCAACAATTTTCACAATAAGGATTCTAATTTTACAAGCCGATGTTTTTGGAATACATGAAACAAATGGCTCTCACAGTGAAGGAAGTGTATCATCACAAGTCCTGTTGACTCAGCTGAGGATGTAAGGCCTATCTGGCTCACCAACTGAAGCTTTCATACCTGTAAGATTTCTGGCCCACCTTGTGCTGATGATATTATGGAACAGGAACAGGTTGCCCAGAGAAGCTGCGGATGCCCCATCCCTGGAAGTGTTCAAGACCAGGCTAGATGAGGCTTTGGGCAACCTGGTCTAGTGGAAGGTGTCCCTACCCATGCAGGGGGGTTGGAACTAGATGGTCTTTAAGGTCCCTTCCAACCCAAACGATTCCATGATTTTATGATTATGATATTATATTATGATAATCATGATATTATGAAGGATATTCAAGCAGAAAATTGAGCATTAGAAAAGTGTCTCTTCAGATTTACTCAGATTTGTTGTAGAATGTAATTACTAATCAACAGTAGATTATAAAAAAACTTCAGAAACTGCAAATTAAGATTTCCAACTCTCTGCACACACTTTTTAAGTAGTGGTTACAGTACAGCCTTTTTTCTTACAGTCTGGATTCTCTCATCAACTCCTTTATAACAGATCCCAATTTTTGTTATCTACTCGGAAGGTAGCAGTTCAAAATGAAGGTTACCATATTCAGACATTTAAATTGCTGATGTGTAGAAAAATCAAACCATGATTCAGTATCTGATGTAGTTTTTAGAGGCCAGACAATTTTTTTTTCCTCATTTGTGCTAAATTGCATTCTTGATTGCATTTCTTTATTGCACTATATGTTCTTATATTTATATCTATCTTATAACCAATTTTCCTTTTGCAGAAGTACAATGAAAGCAATAGAACAGAAAGACCTAAAAAAAGAAATAGCTGTATCTTCAGTTTACTTTGTAAATATAGGTCACATTTACATAGAATTGAAAATATACTAAAAACAAGAACTTGAATGACAATCATATCTTTGTAGAAATTAATTATTTTGTAACAATATACTCCATATATAAAAGAACCAAAATACAAGGATGTAAGGTAAAATCATGTGCTATAGAAATCTACATATACACAATTGAAAACCGAGTATAAGTCAGAGTTCCATGTTTGATCTAGTATTTATGCCCCCCTTTTTTCCTGTGGACCACTGTGATCTTTGTGACTCCATTTAACAATACAGTGTGAAAGACTGAGTAGTAAATAAAAAAGAAGAAAAAAGAAATCACACACTATCTTAATCCCAGCCCAATATTCTATATAAAATTTATAGACACTTAGGAATAATGTTGATAAAGCAATTCCCAATAATACTATTTCAACACTCATTAAAAGAGAAAAAAATATGATTGTGAAGTAATGAAATGTGCAGAAAGCTTCATTTTATAAAGAATTGTAAGTTCAGACATGGAAGACAGAAGAAAATTCCCAAATGGTACCAGATTCTAATTCCCAAATTCGAACTGCACTGCCAGTAAAGAGCTTCTACCACAGCTGATCCTTTGCAACATTAAATCAATTGTAATTCATGAAATGTGCTATGCTCTGTTCTTCATATAATAAATGCATATTTAATAAATGTTCTCATAAAATTTAAAGACTAGGAGACAGAAAAACTGTGAAATCCAGTATTGCCACACAGAACAGGAATACTGTGTATACAAGTTGCAAGCACAAACTGCATATCTAATCCCACTCATTTTGGCAGGAGAATGATGAAAATACATTTTTGCAACTATGATTTAGGAATGTTCAATACATTTAGAAGTACAGAACACCCAATTTTATATATATCTGACTGTATTACAACATAAAAGATAAGAAATTAATGGATCTTCCCAATATACTTCTTTCTATAAATAATTTATATTCAAGATACAGTGATGATTGCCATGCCCCTGCCCAATGTAAGAACAATCCATGGTGTGAAGTTCTAACAATGAAGACAAAGAAGACTTCCTGAAGTCCACAGTAAGGAATACATTAAGTTACTTAAATTGGAGCAGCTGCCTAAGGACTGTTATATCACTTAAGGATTGCTGAGCTGCATGGGAAGTGCCCAAATCCAGTATCTACTTTTTCAAAAGCCAGAGTAGCAATGCTGTACCATCTTCTGTTTCACACAAGTATGTGGTTCAGGGATTGTCAGCAACACAAGCAAAATAAGAAACAAAGGAACCTGTTTTAATAGTCAAGACAGAATTTGGACAGCCTCTAGGTTTCTCAACTATATAGGACTTCCACCCTCTCCTTTAAACTCAGTAAGCACTGTGCAAACCAGTGCCCCCACTTTTAGCAGCGCCGATTAGAGAAAGTGTTACCACTGCCTGCTGCCCATACACTCTCCATTCCCTACTCTGCTTGTGGTCAGGAACCATATAGGCAAAATACACAGGAAAGTAATGGTTGTTACCGTCACCTTATTTACATCTATAGCTAAAGCTGGCTTTCTCGCTGCTGTCAGCTATTGTAGCAACTACAGTGTTTTACAGCACTGGCACAGAGCAGCAGTAAACTGGAAAAAACCCCCCACAAAACATCAGGCATCTGATAACAACAAAGATGACTTTACCAGTCCCTCAGTACAGAACTCCCTTGACTGCAGGCAAAACTGTATTACTTCTGGTGTTCACTCCATTCTCAAACTGCAGGTAAGTGGGACCACAGAGACCAACTTTGTGAAGAATAGCCTGGTATAGGATGGAAATTGACAGAGCGAAATATTTACCATTGATCATTTCTTAAAAAAAAGGACAAGGCCCCTGGCTCTACAACATCCTTCGTGGAAGAGCAATGGGAGAACTTGGGACAGTTTTGATAGTACAACAAAATAATCAGTAACACATCCCATGGCTCAGGGATTCATCAGATGGTGGTAAGTATTAGCCACAGCAGACAGCATCTTGACAGGGCTGATGCCACATAATAGATTGCTCTGTCACTTGCAGTTTCTTCTGGAGATAAATATAACAACTCCACAAACAAGGCCTCCTGCCCAAAAAAGGGCTGCAACAGGAGGCAGAAAAGGATTAAAAGGCATGAAAGCTAATTCTAAGTAGCTTTGTGCAGCACATAAGTATCCTTAACATAAAGACATTTTTCAATTACCTTGGGAAAAAAAAAAACAAACCAACATTCTCTCTCTTAATGTTCAGCTTGTATAAAACCATAAAATACAGGTAGAATGCAGCATTCAATCATTCTGCTATAATGATTGGACATTTCCTTTCTGAGCACAGCTGCTGTTACAAACTATATTAACTTCAGATTGATATCAAAGGATCTATACAGTCTTTAAATCTCCTAAGTGCAACAATACCTTTGACATCAAAAAGTAATGCAATATTGCCTTTCTGACCCAATAAAATTGAATGCATGTAGAATTTGTTAAAATAAGTCCATAAAAGACACTAAAATCAAATCACTTGAGGCAATTACTCTAAATAATTATCTTACTTTAACATGCATGTTAACTTGCTTTCCACCTAAAAATTCATTCTGCAGGAGAGGATTTATTCTTTATTTAGCACTCATGGTTTAGTTTCCAATTAATCTTTCCTTCTGCTATTCCACAAGAGAGATACAATCTTTTACTACTCTCACTACCCACTCTAAAGGCCAACACGTGTCAGTTGAGTTCAAATACAGTCTCTTTGTATCCCAGACCATGGTTGAAAAAACATCTTCACACATTTAATCCATGCCATTCACATTTTCATGGAAGTCCTCCAAAAATTGATTTTCTGTATCATATTAAGCCATATGCCTACTACAGATTCCCAGATAACATACTCTTGCTGAGATCATGACATGTACTTCTTAAAAAATGATTCCTTGTTCTGACTTTCCCTTCCCTTTCTCTATTAAATATACAAAACACCTCACCTTTAAGGCACTTCACAACTTAGTTGCATTTTGTTCTTTTCTTTCTGTGCATGGAATTTCTAACCCAAATACCTAGCAGAGTATGATACTCAAGCGCCCTCCTATATTCTACTGGAAGGTGTCCCTGCCCATGTCAGGGGGGTGGAACTAGGTGATCTTTAAGGTCCCTTCCAACTTAAACCATAGGATGATTCATTCTGTGATACCAAATACCTTCTCGAAACCACAAAGTAGCAGTAAGTGGTTTTTTTTTATATTTCACAATAAAAATAACTGCTTTTTTATCAATAATAAAAGGACAGACAGACTATAAACTTTTCATCTGTGCAATATACCTTATAAAGGCCTACTGTGGTTCTTACAGCCAACATAATCTAGCAAAGTCATCATTTGCCTTTTTTGTTTTTACACATTGTCATGTGTAGATGATGACAATAAAGTAATGTGCATGCACCGACCTTCTACATATTTACACAAACAACCTGAACGTTGAAGTTCATGCAGGAACACAAGTCACGAAGTACCTTGCTGTCATGTGGCCATCACAGTGTATGATATTTTCTCTAAATTAAATTAATTTAATCTTGAAACTGCTACTATGTTACTGCTACAATGACTAGACAGTGGTTTCAGGACTTAAATCTTTTAACAGATAGAAACTGCCTCACAATTTCATTTACTCATTTGCTTTTTTCATTCTTCCCCAAACAAAACCACACCAGGCATGTCACCACTGTGTACCTTGGGCAGACATAAGACCAACTGCCTACACATTGAGCTGGTAGGGAATGATACAATCCTGATCCAGAGCCACATTACTGAATTAGTGCATTTCCATGGCTGGACTGAAATGTCCAGTTCACCAGCAGTGTTCCTAGGCTTGTAGTTCTTCATCCCCTAGAACATGTCGAGTAACAATTTTACAGTACTCAATACCCATTGGCAGTCCTCGATACCCATTCTATGATGAACTAATTCCTTGCTGTCTGTCTTTCTCCTCTACATGTGTAGCTAATGAGTCATTAGTTGATAAATAGTCTTGTTCTTATGTCCTAATTCAACAGCTTATTTGTTCTAATAAATATTTTTCCCTTCGTATATTTTTATTTCAGTCCTCAATTTTATTTCCTTTCTGAATGACAAGATGGACCTCCATCCATCAATATTATGACCAGCACATTTCTGTAATGCACAACAAGGCACCAAAGAAAATACTAGATTGGTCCCAAGTGTAAATCTTCAGAAACTTCACTAGTATCATCTTATTAACCTCATAGTTCTTCTTTAGCCAATTATCTATCTCACCACTGGTAAGATGTTGTTATAAACCATACCTTCCCCAGCCTGAAGAGTAATTCCTGAATTACAACATGGAATGCTTTGCGGAAATGCTGATAGATCCACTGCATTTCTCATATGCAAGCAAATCACTTACAGCTAAGGCAAATGAAAATCTAGGGGCTGTTGCAGAGTATGTTGATTAACACAATTTGTCTTAAGCAAACAGCCAGTGGCTAGAGGTGCACAGCATTTTTAAACCCAGTCATCATGCCCCTCAGTAAGTGCCAACTAGTACCACTCTTAAAATACAGGAGCTAATTTCAGACACTGAATGTGAAGAAGAAAGTATATTCGTCACTATGCCATTTCTCACCTCACTAACAGTATAAAGGGTGTAAAACCAATGAGCACCAACAAGTTATAAAGTGTCCGTGTTTGGAGACCTCAGCATACCCATACCTCTTCTTACACTCTAAATGAAAATATTTATTAATTATTCTTCCTGCAAAAAACAGAAAACTACCATTATTCCTCCTGTAAACTGTTGTGTCTCAGTCACCTTTTCCTTTCCTTTGCCACTGGCTACAGAGATAAAACACTGAAACCAAGAACCACTAAGAAAACTGAAGTCTTGGCTCTCCTCTTTTTACATAAAGTCCTTTCAGATAACAAATGTGCATTTCAGCAAAATGATAAGGGTCAAACAGCCCAACAGACCTGCTGTAGAAGTGCTAAACAATAAGCATTTATTCCTAATACAATCCATTGGAACAAAATGGTCTATTTGAAACAACAGCTATCAAACCCACTTTTAACAAGTCATTATCATTTTTCCTTTGACATATTTTTCCACAAAAATGAAAACTTAATGAAGTAACGAAACATTAGAATCCCAAATAAAATAATTTTTAAAGAAATGAAGGCTGGTGTCTTCAAAAAAAAAAAATTAACACTTGTTAAATAATTAAAAAAAATTCCAACACTAGATGGAGCAACTATCCTATTCTGACAAGCCTTGCTCTTCAAAGGGCATGAAGTCCCTTTCAGATTTGAAGATTAACATTATATCCAAAATGCCCCATCCCTGGAAACGTTCAAGGCCAGGCTGGATGTGGCTTTGAGCAACCTGGTCTAGTGGAAGGTGTCCCTACCCATGGCAGGGAGGTTGAACTAGATGGTCTTTAAGGTCCCTTCCAACCCAAACCGTTCTATGATTCTATGAAATAATGTTATGACATTCCTTGGAAACATTAGGAAGCACATAAAAAGTTATTTACTAAATTGCAAAGAAAGGTAACTTTGGAAATTATTCCAGAACATTAATATTGCAAACATGTATAAATTAAATGTTAAGCAGCTCTAACCTGTTTGCTATTTAAAAATCTACCATGGACAGAGTAATTTGCAGATTTATCTATGCTACACAACTGACCTGCTTTTCCCAGAATATGTAAATACCATGAACATAAAAATGTTACCTTGCAACCCTTTCTCCCATTTAAATTTCTTTTTCTCTTAAAACTTCAGCTATGTTACATTTATCTCTAGTCCTAATGCATACTTTCAAGACCTTTATCATACAGCTCCAAGTATTTTTCCCTTCTCAATTTCAAATAAATTCCTTTGGGAAAAAGAGTTTTCCTATGACCAGTTACAGAATTTAGTACATGCCTGAATTATTCTGACATTTTGAAGTGTTGGTTTTGAAGTAGTTTTAGATATTTTGAGGAGGTGAAGGGGGAAGAAGAAAAAAATTCATCTGTTCCTTATCACTGCTTTCCACCACATATGGTAAAAAGTTGCTTTAGGAGGCAAGAAAAATCAACAGCCTCTTTTCCATGCATTTATGCTCCAGTGAACTGGGGCAATAGAAATGTGACATTCACTCCTGTGTATGCTATAGGTCTACAAGTCAAATTGCTCCTCCTCAATTTTTTCAGTATAAATGTAGACTCTCATACTTCTAATCCTTCCAGAGCACTTGGAAATACAAAAATAAAAAGCATTCTAGGAAGTTTGATGCTTTAGTCTTAGCTGTCTATTGTTTCCACTCAGCTAAGTAGCTGGACACCATACTGTTATGCAGTCTACAAACAAAATATTCACAGCATAGCCAAACTACTCTTTTTCCTTGAAACCAAGCACCTAGCAATTCACAATGCCTGTGCAGTGCATCTTTAATACATCCTCTAGTTTTTCTAAAAACTTTAGTTCAAAGGAAAGCAAATCTGGAGAACAAATCTTTCCAAATGTGGCACTGGAGCCTGATGCATTCATTTCAGTCACAGTCTTTTACAGCTAAAGGTTAAAGCTTGAGAACAGGTCTGCCAAAACCAGAAAGAATTATTCAACACTTCAAAAAAGCCCTAATCGACAGTGTGACTTTTCACCTTGGTCCCAAAAATACCAGGCAAGACCATGCAGCGTACTGTGTTGTACCGTGATGGCAGAAAGTAGCCAACACAATCTGGGTATGCACTTTCCAAAGCTTCTGGCAAGCATTCAAAAATCACTGTGTTTTTTTTAAATCAAACAAAAACTAAGCAGTGCAGAATCATCAACTTCTAGCGAGTAAGTGCTCAGCGAAAGTTTTGAACATAATCATACACACGTACAATACAGAATGATGTAGGAGGGATAGGTTGAGAACTCCCATCCTTAGTTTATTTCAAAACCCAAAAGCTATGTAGTGCTATGCCTTTGTTTGTCCTTGGCTGTAGATACAACTAAATATGCACACAAAAACCTGAAAGATCTTCCAGAAAATGATGGAACCAGAAAATAACTGACTGACTGTTTGGGAATACAACCATGATGTTTGCCCAGCAAAAAAACATTGATGAAAAAGCTGTCTAATCAGCAATGTATATAGATATTTTAGCTGAGCACCCAAATTTTAAGAAGGGTTTTCTTCTCCCAGTATTATACTCATGTGTAGTATAAATTTTTTGTGCTGGACAAAGACAAGAGCATACTGTCAAATGCATTGTTTTCCAAGACTGTGTTTTTAAAATAAAAGCAGGCATAATAACCATTATTCTAAGCTGAAACTCCTTCCCCAAAGTTCTCAGTCCTGTTTGAGATCTTTGCACATTACTACAGAAGCATTAACAAGACTTCTAAGGCTTCTAATGTCTGTTAAGTAAAAATATTGCCGTTTAACAATTCCTTGAACAAATTCAATAATTGTGAGTTCGGTGACAGTCATCACTATACATTATTTGGAGTGCTTGAGAATACATTAGCAAAATATAACTCTATTATTTAATGGTAAATGAGGATTAAACAAACAAACAAAAAGAAACCCAATCCAGATTACAAATGAGGATTTTGGAGATTAGCTAATGAAATTATATATTTAGTCTAAGTACTTTCTGTAGGTATAGTACTTATCCAACGTAACAAAAAGGGGGTGAATCACTCTTCTCACATCACACATACACGTTCTTAAATAATGAGGTTAAACTAGAAACCTTACTTTTAGAATGGTTGAAGAGGGGAAAGATAAGTCCCACTTCAGATGCCTATGTATAAAAAAAGGCACCTCTAAGTATCTATTTTTCAATTACATACTCCTTAAATTTTTTTTAAAAAATTCTTCTATTCTTGGTGTATCTCATTCTTCTTGATAAGTCAAAGACTATTTTACAAGAAAATAACATAATTGGAAACACATTGAACTAAACAAAGATATTTTCTATAGACATGGAATGCAGTTACTACAATTTTCTTTCAGTCCTTGAATCTGTTACCTTGGAATTCATATGTTTACCTGAATATCAAAAGACATTTCCAAAACAAACATCACTATGAGTGTTTGAAGTCTAGCTTTTAACATCTTATTCAGAAATTCAGTGCTTAAGCCAATGCTACTTAAACTCATCATAAATTTTTCTTGTGGATGTAGTAAGTGTTCACTATTATTCTAAAATCCCTTGTCACTTGTACTTGGAGTTACACAGGAAAAAATCTGAAAATAACGATACTGCACGTTTCCCCAAATATTAACTCTACCTCTGGAGAACAGTTAGTTCTACTGCTGACCCACAAGCCAGAAACAATACAATCTGAACTTTAGAAACCAGGCAATATCTGCAGTATTATTATTCTAAATATTAAAAAAAATTTTTTTAAGACTGTAAAAAGCTGAGAACTAATGAAGTGCTTTTTATCCTTCAAATGTCAAGACTATAGTTAAATGGGACCCCAAAAATGCCATGCATAAAGACTTCTACAGACTATAATTACAATTACAATGGTATTGAAGAAATGATTAACATTCTGTACTGTAAAATAGTTGGACTAGAAACCTAAAAATAATCCACAGCTCATCCAGAGTAAGGAGATATAACAATCAGTACCTTAATAGAGAATAGAAAAATAATTTTATTCTCAAAAAAAGTATACAGTGAGTTATTGCAATCAAATGACTGTTTTTGCATTCTCATCCAAACTCTACCTGTATTCTCCCTCTGTTTCTTAATGATTCTCACCTCTTCCTAATTTCTGAATCCACAAGGAGTTGCCTCTTTTTGTGGGGTGGAGGTGGAGGGAGTTCCTCTTTAGCATGCTTAACCAGGATTTGTTCTCTTGTGGTCACCATAGTTACAGTTTCCATTACTGTTGTCTGTGTTAGTGATGTCTGAGTGGTAGTGACAGCCTGTGAAATCTGTGAGAAGTATTAAAACAGAGGTCACACGTTGTTTGAAAGACTTCAGTAAAGACTGTTTGGAGTAGCAACAGAAAATAATGAGAAAACACTCTGGTCTGATCATAGGCTGACCTTCAGAAAAAAATAACATTATATGCAACTCAAATCAAATTGCTTTATCTGACTCATGCTGTGTGAACAAGATATCTGCAGGAGTCAATATCAAAACCAGAAAAGATCCTAAACAGAATGAACTTACGGCTCCCTCTAAATCATGCTGAATGAAGGAAAGATATGAATGGTCAGTTTTATGTGGGATTTGAATGATAGCAAATACATAAAATGTTACTACTGCTGTATGCTACTCGGCATCCATTGTGAAGATTTATTCCTTGAGAAGTAATAAAAGCATGGTAACAGCACCAAATTACCAATTGTTGGTTTTAGCATTTATAATAATTTTCAAACTAGAATGTAATTTATCACAACCTATTTGCACAAAAGGGCAGTTAGCTTTCTGTCAGGAAATCTTAAATTAGAAAACATGCGCTTGGAGGCAAATTAATTTGCATCAGTATTATTCCATAATTAAAAATTAATTTAAAGGGTCATAACAGATACTCATAATATGTAATGCTAAATATTACCATTCTAATATGTTTAACTTCGGCCCGTAATATGAAAACATAACCTTTATATAGTTCAGCTGCATAAAAATATATGTTATATTTATTTCCATATAACACCAAACTATGAACTTCTCACTTAAACATGGGCCGCTGCTCTTAAGTCCCTTAAATCATGGGAAATGGGTCATTTCTTTTTTTGGTTCTGTCAGATGACGGCTCATTTGTCAAAATGCTCTAGTTACAGCTCCAATAACCACGTCACAGTTTAGGGTTAGTGAAATGGAAAATAAAAGGAGCAGAAGTAGGAAAAGCTGTGCACCATAAAAGCCCTGCTTCTTTGCTTATTGTCATTGTGCAAGAATTAGAGAGACTTTCCAATTCAGCAAATACCTAAATTGCATGAAACTCTATATACATACATAAATAACCTATTAGATCTTGTACCAGAAACACCATGAGTAGTGAGTTACCTTAGTTATTGAGACAGTGTTTCTATAAACAATGGAGAGGCATACCAGGTAATTAACTGTAACTCCTTTCCCACAATAACTTTCTTACAAAAACAGAGAGACCAGGGCAGGGGGATACTGTTAGCAACCATCCTATCCTCAGCAGGCAACATAAATAAATCTAAAAAAACTTTGGAAAAAACCAAGTTCCTGCCAACCTTGCTGAATTTGCCACACTGTTTTCAAAACAAAAAAGTCTTCATGCTCTTTGTCCAGTCTGTCATAACTGCAAAAGTGAAGACTAGGAAAGCCCCTTGCCACTGTAATTTTGGCAATCTTTTTAAAACAGTCGTCTCAGTGCTATGCTTCCTCTTCTAGAAATGATCAGCTGTCGAGACTTTAGAGCAGAATTTAGACTACTCAGAAGAGTACAAAATAAAGATTCAAAGCAGATTTTTTTTTTTGATCTCTAGATTAATTATGTCAATTGGAGTAAGCATCTTGTGAACTGCAGGGACATAGCTGATGTACAAACTACATAAATTTTTGGAAGAGAAAAACACCCAGCTGACTTTTTAATCACTACAATATTATGTATTAATACTCTTGTTTCAGTTCCCTCAGCAGGATGTATCCACTGATATTTTCAGCTACAGAAATAATGACAATAATAAGGAAAAGGTTTCCATATAGTTTTATTAAACCTTTATACAGCATTCTTTTCAATTTTATTTGCAATGATTTTTATTTGGGGGCAGAAAGGAAAAGCAAATTAAAGCTTTTGAGGTCTAGGGTTCTATGAAATTGGAGGATAACATATGTCATCTATCCCTAGGCTGGCTCTGTAGCTAGAATCATAGAATGCTTTGGGTTGAAAGTGCCCTTAAAGATCATTCAGTTCCAACCCCCCTGCCATGGGCAGGGACACCTTCCACTAGACCAAGTTGATCAAAGCCTCATCCAGCCTGGCCTTGAGCACTTCCAGGGATGGGGCATCCACAGCTTCTCTGGGCAACCTGTGCCAGTGCCTCACCACCCTCTCTGTGAAGAACTTCTTCCTGAGATCTAATCTAAACCTCCCCACTTTCAGTTTAGCCCATTACCCCTTGTCTTGTCACTACAGGCCCTTGTAAAAAGTCCCCTCCCAGCTTCCTTGTAGCTAAGAACACTTTGAATAATTTCCTGTTCCTTTTATGCAATTTTGTGTTGTCTCCTTTTCCTCTTCTCAAAAAATTCTTACTATATTCAGTTTTAACCAAAGTTCAATAATAGGATGATGTTTCTGACACTCGAGGTTATATCCTGTCTTGTTTCCTTCTGCCAATTGATACCAGGGCACAGTTTACAGTGAAGAAGGTATAAAGCAGAATAAACCACAGCTAGGGCACTGTAATAGTCACCTGCAGCATACTACCAATTATACAGTACTAGTTTCAGCTGGTGACTGGGAACTGTGCTTTGAAAACAGGCAGTGCAATTATATGCTCAGAGCAGCCAAGTCACGATGCTGTGTAGGGTAATGATTTATATGTCAAAACAGTAAAGAAGTATTTTTCATTCTTAATAAATAGGAGTGGAGGTTAAATACTATATACTTCAAAAGGAGAATGGAGGTACGAATTTGAAGTCCATAATCATCCTAATTACAGACTAGGTAAGACTGAAAGGGGCTGAACATTACACTGCAATGTAACTCTCCGAGATGAAGTCAGTTCACATTTAAAGAGTGCACACATTTTAGAGAGTAAAGGGAAGTCTTTAAAAATTCAGGGAAGTACCAGAAAGGAAGTAGCTTTTATTAACTTCCTTGGGGGGTGTGTGTGTGTTATTCTGGAAGCCAAATAAAAAAAATGCCAAACTCTTAAATCTACATCAAATGGCCTTCAAAATACAATGTTTGCCTGCAGTTTCACATCAGCAAGCTCATCTTAGAAACATGTTAAAACTCATCTCTTTCCACAGTCGACAAATTTAAATCTTCTTTTTCCTCCTCTACAGGTAAACGTATGTACAATGTGTGTATAGCACTTCAGTATTTTTATGTAATTTTATTTCTCTTTTATACAGCAGCCTACCTTTAATGCCATCATTTATTGCTGCCTTTGGAAGTGCCCTCAGTCCTGATGAACTCATAACTTTTCTGAACACTCACTTTTGGAGCTGTCATCTGTTCTTTGATGAAATGTACGTATGTGAGTGGGGAACTTCAGATGAGGAATGGTGTTTTCTTCAGTTTGGGTAGGTTTTTAGTACAATTTAGTGAATCATAATGAACTCACCAATGGTGGGTTTAGATTTTCTAGAAGTTATGCATCTAGTCTAAGGAAGTTGTCCCTGTCCTTGTTTTCACTGTGTCATCTATGAAGGAAAGGTGGCATTTTCATAATGAGGAAAAACTGCTTTTTAAAAGGTATCTCTCTTTCTCACCTTTGCCATCTATTCATTTGCAGCAGAAGCTTCAGCCAGGAGTTCAGGTTAGATGGTAAATTTAGCAGCAATGAATTCAGCTAAATGTGGGAGGACTCACGTGTTCTTTCTGCAATTTTCCTTCGGGGTGTATAGCTACTTCCTATTTGTAGCTGGAGAACTAGCTTTGAACTGAGGCTGAGGTTGTCTTACATTTAATTTCTTATCTTTTTAACAAGTTAATCAGTGATGTTTTAGTAAGAGAAAGAGGGGAAATAACTGACCAAAATGTAATTATGAAGATATTATGAGAATAATTAATGAGTAGAATAAAGTTAATTTTGAAGATAATATCTAAGTTTGATAAATAAAATGTGCATTTTCTGATAGATTTTTAGTGATAATATTGTATTTGTCACTTTCTTCCCACTCCCCTCCTCTCTGGTTCATGATTAGAGAAAATAATTAGAGCTTTTAGAGAAATTTTTTTCTTACAGTCAAAATGTGTCAATGATCTCTGTAATGAATCAATGTATAAACCCTACTAGCATTATCTGCCCTGCCTAGATAGAGAAACACAGAAAAAAGTACACTGTCAGTATTTCAAAGAGGGAATATCTAAACTGTGTAAAAGTGCATTAGGAAGTGGTCTTTCAGTTAGTACTGAATGCGCAGTGTCTCCAGAGTATGAAGCAATATGTCCACAGCCACATACTAACTCTGCCTTGCACAGCAGCTTCTCTTTGGAGGAAAAGCTCATCAACTGAAACGTGCTACTATAAGACAACTACAATGTTTTGGGAACCCAAAGCATCTGCCACCCTTGGTGCTCTATGATGTATGGACATACAGCCTCAGAATTGCTCACTTCACAAGGAGACTATCTTTTCTGTAACCAAAGTTCCATTTTCTAATTTTGTATCTGCTTTAGGGTTGATCAACATTCTACAACCCTTTGGAGTGACTTACTGACATCTTCAAATCATGTGATTCTAACCATCCCAGATTAAAAATGAATCTCTGGATTTTCCTCTGCATTGAAACAACAGGTTTCCTACAACAAATATGCAAGAGCTAAATCAGATTTTCAACTGTTATAAATGGTGTGTAGAACAAACTGGTTTTGCCTTCTATTACTAAGTGAAATTGTACCCTTTCCCCATTTTCTTCTCTTCTGTTCTCCCAAATGGATTTTTTCCATCTTCAGCTACACAAAAACTGTACTATCCAAACATAAGTTGGTAGAAACGTTAGTATATACCAACAAAAAAGTGCGGCATGGTCTTGCGAGTTGAATCAAACTGACCAGAGCTGTGAGAGACCCTCTAGGGACAGGATAGAGGTGTATGCAGTAACATTCTGCTGTGTTACCATTAAAAAGTCTTAATGTCTATTTCCATTTCACAGCACAAAAATAACTCTGTATTAATGAGATGATGGAATGGAACAAAGTGAGATGATTTGTGTTTAAATCCAGTAAGAAAGAGAAGCTGACAGATGGCTAGGAAAAATAAAAGGATAGGTTTTCAGTACTACACCAGAACACTGATTTTGTTACCTGGTTTAAAAAAATTAGAAACTTTAAAACACTTTTTTATTTCTTATGATACTATGGTTAACATAACAGAACTGGGAAAAATAATAGCAGATTTTTTTTTTAATTGGCATTTTGGCTTCAGGTATGAATTGGTTTCTTTACTTTTTTCAAGGAAATCACTTTTTAAGGCCTCTCTTTTTAATCTGTAAATCAGCATAACATAAGCAGAAGTAACACAGTAATTTATTATAAACTTTCATTGTTCAAAAGAGATAAAAATAATTTCTCTTGAACTGGCAAACAATCTTTACACTGATTTCAGACTAAGTGCTATTCCACAGAGACAGACATAAAATCAGTGCATTTGAAGTTATCAACTGTTATAGGTTAAAAATAAATTAACTGGAAAGTGTATTTTCATTGTGGATTATATCATCCCTGAAACATAGTTAACAACCCCAGAAAGTAATCAACACTATGAAGAGAGATCAAAAACTACAGAGATAAGTAAAATTCAAGAAAGTTATATTGCAGTTGTATTATGCTGTCCTAAATACAAAATTATGTCTTAAGCACTCATGCAGGGGGAAAAAAAATATTACAAATAAAACCAAAAATACTTCCAGCATTTGACAGGCAAATGGCTTGACTGACACCAATTGACAAAATTATGGTTTTAACGTACCTGGTTAGAATTGCTCTCCACTTTCTGCACAAGTCTATCCCAGCGCTGGGCAAAATTTTCGAGATGACTTTCTAGCTTTTGGGCCACTGCTTTATTTTTCACAGCTACAAGAAGGTCTTGGCAGAGCGACTTCAGCTTACTTATCATTTGCTTTTTCATTTCTAGATCTCCTTTTAGGATAAAAAAAAAATAACAGTAATTCATGTAGGAAAAAAACAAGCAAGCAACCAACCAAAACAAAAACCAAACCCAATAAACTTAGAAGAAAAATCCTGAAGAGAGCATCATGAAGTACTGAAAATGGGTAAGGGTATTTCATACAAACTCCTATACGTCCGTGATGTTGTTACTGTAAAAACTGCCGGCAGAGCTGACATAGTGGAATGGACACATTGCACTTCACAAAGCAATATAACTTGACAGGTGGAGCAACTGCAGACATTGCAGCATGCCTCGGGTGGTGACATAAATCAAAAAGCTAAGAGCTGTGTGACATTAATAACCTTAAAACTGCACTAATGTTAACTACTATATCAACATTTCAAACAATGGTTCTTTAAAGTTTTATTTTATTTTGTCATATACTGCATATTAAAACTCATTGGGAAAACACTGTTTTCTAGAAAAATATTTGAACCCAAACCACGACGAACAAAAAAAAAAAAGAAAAAAAAAGAAAGCTCAAATAAAGTAAGTTTGGTTTTGGCTCTATTGAAGAATTTTACATTTCCCATCTTACTCAGATCTCCAGTTACAGAGCCTCCTGGGAATGAGGCAGCATTGAGAACCAGAGGCTCTGCCGAGTGTGCTAAGGAAAGGTCCCTGCAGCTGGGAGCCTGGCAACTCCCATGAATAAACTCTGTACTCTGCAATCTGCCATACAGCATGAACCCACGGATGCTAACAGGAAAAGAGAAATCATCAGTCTTCACATCTCTACTGCAGTAAACTGCCAAGGGATCTTGAAACTCCTGAGATGTATACATGGAAACCTCTCTATGAAATGGGCTCTTCACAGATACAAGAGTCATCCATAGCTCAAGTTCTCACCTGGGTTTATTTTTTAAGGCCTCTATTGGTTTACTCCATTGATTTTCATACCTTAAGCATTCATTGTCTACACCCTAATCTGTGCTCACCACGGCCAAATTTTGAACTTTCTCTGCAGCTGAGGATTTCAATCTAATCCTAATGGTGAGGTGGGCCACTGCCAACCT